TTTGACCGCTACAACCATTAGTCCTATCTCGTTCATTAAGAATCGTTCGACCCTCAGCAAAGCAAAGCGTGGTCGGTTGCAATCCGTCCAATTTCCACAACGCGCGACTGATCCAAATCGCGAAGTATGAATGCAGCGTAGCCTAAGTTTCCTGAGGTTTGGTTTTTTCCCGCAAACAACGAAATTTTTGTTTCTACTTCCAACCAAAGTGTAGAGAACTTAACATTGCGGAGTATATGTTGCCAGAAGCTTAGATCTCAACACTCCCTCCCCATAGCGGACTAGTGCCAAACTATTAAATAAATAAGTTTACCTCAATGTTCAGGACACGTTAGCAACAATATGTATCTTGGAATATTCTCAATTTGAAACCCATCCTCTCATGAGTGAGGAACACCTGAAAGATTTGGCTAAACAGACTGCGGCAGCTATACTAGGTTTCTACTATTTTTCATTCAAAATTTCATTAATTTTCGTGATCTCCTTCGAACAATTCTGAACTGCTCTCTCTTTAGAATTCGGTGGTAGAAGTTCTATGTCCCAACTGTCTCGCTATATCCAGCTATGGATCAAAATGCAGACAGAGCTCACCAGTGCGATGGTTCCACATTGCGCATTCACGGATCTTAAACAACTGGTAATCTCTTCCTTTGTGAGATTTCACGCGTTTCCTAAACTGTGACTCACTTCCAGGTATTCGGCAATTCTAATCTCATGGTAAATGGTGATGGAGTGCCATCATCAACAACTCAGGACGATTCATCAATGGTCGTGGGATAGTTTGCTGTCGTCATGGCCTCCTACATGACATGTGACCTGTTAGCAGCGGCTACCAGTGAATTGTTCAAGGATCAACTTAGGTTGGGGGGTTGGGTAAAGTTCATTGGGCTTTTGCTTGGTGATAGCTACCCTATGCTTGGAAATTTACTGAGAATTGCAGAGCCGGGGCATCGGAGACTCGTAGTATCGGCGAAAAGGGTTACAGTGTAGTTCTCAGCCGACGGTGGGGCGGTCCTACAACCCCGCTGGCGAGCGGTCCGACGGTTGCGTGTCGGTGGAAAGGCGGAGGCCTGGGAGATTATCATCATTGTCTCTGCGCTCTCTGACAATGACTCTGCGCTCGAACACACGCCGCCGCACCATCTATTCACTCTTCCGTCTGGACTCTCGCCGATCGATAATTGCTGACGCTCCCAGTCAGCTGATTTCTGCGGCATTTTTGCTGTATTTCTGTTGTATTCAGCTTGTGAAAGCTGAAATGTTCTTTCTTTGATTGCTTTTCGGAAAGGTGAGTATGTTTGCTAAAATTAGATTACATTTTGCATGATTTTAGATAAAGTTCTCTTAGAAAATTGGTTTCTTCTTCCTACTTTCGCATTTTTTGAGCTCCTTTTGATTGTCGTCGTTTAACCTCGACGTTGTTGACTGAATCATGCAAAATAAAATCTAGCTGCAGTAAAACATACTTACCTTTTACAATTAAAGCCGGAAGAAGGTAGTTTTAGCCTTTAGAAGCTGAAAACAACAGAAATCAGTTGAGTGGGCGTATCAGCCATTATCGATCGCGACGGCGTCGGACCGCTCGCCAGCGTAGTCATAGGACTGCCCCAGTCGGATGAGAACTCCACTTGTATACAAATTGATTGGTTTGGTTCGCATTTTTGATGAAATATCAATTTTCCAAGTGAGTGGAGGATTATTCACCCATGTGGAGTTGCATCTCTAATCATTTTGGGGAATTTTTGGCGCTCCAACTCTATGGTTCTGTAATACTCAGTTCTTTGATCACCTTGAAAACTTAGTGTACAATTACTGGGAGGTGGCTCTTTTTCCTGAGCGGGATGGGTACAGCCTGAGCCATAATGTAGCATCGAGCTATATTAAAAGTGTGCTGCATTGAAGCAAGAGTCTTGTCATAGCTTGATGTATCTCTGCTATTTTTCAGTACGCTATACGCTTGCCACAGTTACGCTACTCTATCGTATGGCTGGCCGTTTAGCGTCGCTGTGGCATGCGTATGGCGTATCGAGAGGTGGGCGGAGATGAAAGAGGCATCAAGTTACCACAAGCCTTCGGCTTCATTGTAGCTGCGCACTTTCAAATAGAGGGAATGGTACAATTTTACGGCTGTGGCACTGCCCTTCTTGCACGCGAAAAGGATTCTCCTCTCAGATAATCGACTAGTATGTCTTTACACGCTGAGTATGAACCCCATCAGGCGAGTATCGGGCGGTTGGCGGCACTCGCCAGGTATATAAAGAAGCCATAAATAGATAAGCGCCGACAATTACATTTATCGTCACGGGGCCGCGAGCGACTTTCCTCTTGGCTAGCGATTTCACGTTCTTCATCAAAATCAAATTGCCATCTGTTGTCTCAATGATTATTGCCTTTTTAAAGCAGTAATTACCAGATTGTTCTTTTGATGTTCATCTAAGCCATTTATATTTGTTATTCTCTGGCCGATAAAAAATACCACCATTATGTAACGCTACCTCAACCTCTTCAAGGCATGTATCTCTAGGAACAATTTGCTCGTTGTCGTTGCACTCAGGGAATTTCCCCTCCTTATCAATGTATATCCATCCATCGTTTTCGTCTTGCCAGTGCTTTTCAGTACTGTATGTTGGAGCAGTTCGACGACGGGGGGGGGCATTTTGCACTTTGCTACTTCCCATCGACGTGTCGACCCATTTAGAGAGCCATTTCGTGAGCTTACAAGAGCTTGACAGGTTTCACCATGGTGAGCTCTGCGAGCTTGCTCCAGCTTCACAAGAGTTCACAGGTTTCACCAGAGTGAGACCTTGTAATCCGGAACTGGTGAAGCAGCAGAAGTGCAAACTGCCCCCCCCCCGTCGCCGAACTGCGGCCTGTATGTTCATATGACTCGATTGATGAATCAGATGTTCATTCAACACTTACTGAAATTACTTCTCTCATATGCGCGTATTCATCTCTTTCAAACTTACCGATGCCGGTGGTTTGCTACTTGTAAAACCCCGTTTTATTTCTCGATTGAGAAGTGTGATTCAATCGATATGTACTTGTATTGCCTAGATTTCAATATACCAAATCTTTCTATTTGACGTGTGTTTTGTAGGACGATATCAGTGTTCTACCTGGACTCAATGTACATTGCCTGAATATGTTTGAGAAGTTGTATAGTGATGATTTGATTTACACCACATTACGGCAGGTGTATATGTCCGTCCATTCGTGAAGGAGCTAAAGTGTTACCCATAGTGATTTCTAGTTCCGCTCATGTGATAAATATAATGGATTCTGTGAGTGTTCTGGTTTTAAGTGAAGCGTTTCGTCAAATTCGCTCCAAGTATTGCGTATTTCTACGGAGAGTTACTACGAAATAGTTGAGTGAGTGAAACTACAGACATACGAGGATGGGCGTGGCAAGCGACTCGTCACTATATGAGGGCAAAATCATTATGGCACCAATGGTACGAGCTGGTCGTACGCCGTTGAGGTCTCTGCTTTTTATTTGCAATTTTGAAGAAATTTTTATAGGAATGAGGCTGGCTTGAGAGGTTTTTTGAAGGTTAATTTTTGCTGTTTCGCGCGCGATATCTGCAGCGTTGGGGAATTCACAGGCTGGGAGTCGTATTTGAGAGGGTTTTTTTCTTCTGGCTCAC